AGCCTAGAAACAGTCATGCAACAATCAATTTAACATCTAACAAGATATCAACATAGCATGCATCACATAACTCATCACCATATATATCACATAACTCAACATTTCATATCAATATCTCGACACGAACTCCATGCCAACTTGGGTTGGCCGTCACCTCTCTAAAGGTCGTACGCCACCTTTGGCTCGTCAACTGGTTTACGGGCTTTAACGGGATCGCCATGTCCTAGCCCTCACTCCGACATCACACACCAAACCTCACATGTTACATATTACTTTATATAATAAACATAAATATCATGCCTTAATCACAACTTAACATTTCATTCAACACTCAATCACTATTCCTAAACTCGGCATATATGCTCATTAAATTAGACAATTGCATAATATGAATCCACAAATCTCAACCCTCACCTTAGCCACAAAGGATCCAAAATATCTGGAACTATATTCTAGAAATAGCAATTGAAAATAGCGTCTCAATCTGCGTTTGCATTTCACCGTACTAGGGATTTTGAGTTTGAACGGAGACAATGTTCCTTGACCATAAAGGAACAGATATAACTTACTGAATTTATATCGGATTGGAAATCTAAGACCTGATATGGATTCCTTGAAACGTCATCTTTCCAGAGATGCCAAGATCGTACTCAGAAACCTTCTAGATCAACGGTAAACTGCATCCAAACTTAGCTCTGCGAAACTAGGAAAATATGCTGTTCTGAGACAGAGAGTTGTCGCCAACTTTAAACTTGATTTCCGGATTGTCCTTACCTTGGATTTCAATTACGAAAACAGTTACAGAAACTAGACAAAAAGAGCTTTCTAGGGATACAAGGATCATCATCTAAATCCATATTAACTAGTCGAAAAACGCTTGCGAAGATGACTGTTTGCAGCTCCACTCTACACATAACATTCCCAGAGAAACACGAATAACTCTTAAACCATATTTACGATTGGCAAACGGTTTTCACACATAGCTAGATATACGAGTTACGAATCTCCTTACCAAAAGTCAGCTTCATCCGATCTCTGAATAAACCGCTGATCAAATTCTCCTATGGCTGGTCAGAAATCCTCACAGCAGATAACAACTACGAGAAAACAACCATAACTTCCATATCACAACTTCAAATGACAATCCACTTTTTGACTTGTAAATAAGAGAGCCTGGAAGATCCTTACCAAGATTCAAATCGATCCGAACAGTTTTGGTCCTCGGTTTCCATTCCCTATCGAAACTGGTCAGATATGCGGTTGTTTGAGAATAGGACATATTTCGACAGACGGAAGAACACACCATAAATTTCACAGCAGGCCTTGGATCTGGACGATATTGGACTTTCTGGAAAGATGAGACTTGGGCTTTCCATGGATATGTATATCGTCACGCCGTTCTTTACGATTCCTTGGGAAAATATCTCTCAATCCGGCGGCACATTTCAGTTTCAAGTGGCACATTAAATGGAATTCTTCTTATGTCTCATTTTGCATGTGCGGTCCAAAAACATTCCCGCACAAAAATTTAAAAATCTTCTCGACACGGTCTGTGACACAGAGTTAAGTAATGGAGATATGAACATCACCATTTTACCTCCTTTAATTACAAAATTATCGAAAAATTAAACATTAGAAGAAATGATTATAAATCACATAAATTTAATCTAGATTTTTTACCTGGAAATCCATTTGTATGAAGTGTTTGTTTCTTCTTCCATCTTTTATAGAGAAGAAGAGCGATTACGATTTTACCAATTACAAAAGCAACCAAAGATATTGTTATGTACAAAATTGTTTCCTTTGCTTTACTAGCCATTGTTTCTCTGCAATTTTTTTTCTTTTCTTTTTGGCTTATCTCATTATCTGAAATTGAAGAAGAAGTTGGTTGCGTGAAAATGGAGAAAGACGAGAGAAATAAGAAAGTAGTTTTACAACTTTTGATCCTTACCAACAATTGAACACGTTACATGTACGAAAAACCATTCATGTATTATCATTATTATTGTTACGTATTAAATGAAAATTGAGTTTATACATTTAAAATCCTCCGCTTAACCCATTATTTAAGGAGTTGTAACACTTTATGAAAAAATAATTGTGATCAAAGAACGCGTGAATGTGGCTACTTTACCAGCTATTGCTTAGCTTTTGTCGTTGACTTCTATGCTCGACATCTAAAAACAAGATCAGTAGATCATTTGGTGTTCCACATCTAAAACAAGATTTAGTAATCATTCAAAAATCCTTGCAAATTGTAAGTTTAACATTAACTTGAGCCTGATTAAGCCCTCTGAGATTTTACAAAAAAAATTATAAAGCGTAGGAGAGATTAAGAATCTGTATATTGGAAAATGTTGAAACCTTTCACATATCTATCAATGGCTTCTTATGATCCTGCACAAATCAAAATCAGAAACCAAATTAATAACGATGTTTCTTTGATATTTTGGGCTTAATACAATGAAGAAACGTCTTTCTCACCTTCCTAACCGAGAGAGTTCCGGTTCTGCCAATAACATATCTTGCAGCGGTTTTGCATCCATGTACACTACTTCTGCGGAAAATAAATGAAAACGAATCATAAATCTAATGAACAAGAAGGTTTTGTTTAGAAGAGAACTTAAGAAGAGAGGAAATCTACTCACAAATGTTATCGATCTTGAGTTGCTTATGATGAAGTGCGAAATCATGACGGACATAAGTCAAAACCAAGCTTCCTGCATCAGGGTGAGGCCAGCTTCTTGACATGAGGAAACGGAGTATGAAGGTTCCTGGTTCTTGGCCTTGAAGCGAATGTTCAGCCTCTTCCTTGGTGATGAATCCTTCGACCCATTTAGGCGATGAGGAGCGCCACAAAGATTAGGGATCGGTTTAGTATGATAAATTC